AGCACATGTATAGTAAGTTTGTTTTCTGATGAGGGAGGTCAGGGTTCAGTTCCCTCAGTGGCAGGTGTTCCCCAAATCCAGATCCCCAAGATCTCCCTTGCCTTATGCTGCTGTAGGCTGCTGGGTACAAGGTGAGATGGACACACATTCACCCACAAGTCACAGCTTTTGGCTGTCTGTGGGAATCTTTACATGCTCTGGAGGTGGGGGGAGAGGGGGGACTTTAATTAGAGCAGCTCTCAGGAGCAGCTCTAATTAAAGTGCCTGCAGTATCTTGTGTATTCAGTGTCCTACACTTCAAAGTAGCAGTGGGGGCTCTTTAACTAAAGCCTGTTGACTGTTCAAGTACCCTTGCTGCCATTTTGAAGTGTGAAGAAGCTGAATATACAAGATGCCAAGGCTGCTGGCGTGCATTAATAAGTATGCTCCAGCAGACTCGATTAATTGAGTTTGTTCTGAAGTACTATTTACTGCGGATTGGAGCAGGCATTCTGCATGTTTATAGTTTCATAGTTTCATAGTTGGTAGGGTCAGAAGGGACCTGAGCAGATCATCAAGTCCAACCCCCTGCTATGGCAGGAAAAAGTACTGGGATCAAACAACCCCAGCAAGGTGTTCATCCAGCCTCCTCTTAAAGACCCCCAGGGTAGGAGCCAGCACCACTTCTCTTGGAAGTTGGTTCCAGATCCTAGCTGCCCTGACAGTGAAGTAGTGCCTCCTGATGTTTAATCTGAATCTACCCTCTGCCAGCTTGTGACTGTTATTTCTAGTCACTCCTGGTAGTGCTCAGGAGAACAGGGACTCCCCCAATGCCTGCTGGTCCCCTCTGACTAGTTTGTAGGAGGCCACTAGATCCCCCCTTAGCCTTCTCTTGTGGAGGCCGAACAGGTTCAGGTCCCTTAGCCTGTCCTCATAGGGCCTGCCCTGCTGCCCCCTGATCATGCGAGTGGCCCTCCTCTGGACCCTCTCTGTGTTGTCCACATCCCTCTTGAAGTGCGGCGCCCAGAACAGGATGCAGTACTCCAACTGCAGCCTGACCAGTGTCACATAGAGGGGGAGGATCACCTCCTTGGACCTGCTCAAGATGCATCTGTGGATGCATGACAAGGTATGGTTGGCCTTCCTGACTGGATCCCCACACTGTCGGCCCATGTTTGTCTTGGCATCAATGATGACTCCAAGATCCTTTTCTGTCTCTGCACTGATGAGAAGGGAGTTCCCCAGCCTGTAGGTATGGTGCTGGTTCTTCCTCCCCAGGTGCAGCACCTTGCACTTGTCAGTGTTGAATTCCATCTTATTTTCATCTGCCCACCCCTGTAACCTGTCCAGATCTGATTGCAGCCTATTCCTCCCATCTAGCATGCCCACATTCCCCTACATCTTAGTGTCATCGGCAAATTTGAACAGGGTGCATTTTACCCCCTCATCCAAGTCACTGATGAAGATGTTGAACAGTGCGGGCCCAAGGACCAAGCCCTGGGGGACCCCACTTCCCACACCCCTCCAGGTCAAAAATGACCTATCCACCGCCACTCTCTGGGTGCGGCCCTCCAGCCAGTTAGAGACCCAT